CACCAGGACATGGTTACCGTCGGGTGCCATCCCCACGATTCGTGTCCACGGTCGCGGGTCGAAGACCACCGCATCCGGGTTGGCAACCTGGTCCTTTTTGACCCATTCCAGGCAGCACGCCACGAGGATTTCCCCGTCCGACTGCACTGGTGCAAATCCAAGGTCATGCAAAATCAACTGGACTGCGGTTGGGACCCCTAGGAAGGTCGTTCCAAACGGGGAAGGGAGGCGGGGCCTCCACATCATCATGATCCACTCGAGCCCGGAGCCAAATCTCAGGGCGCCTTGCACGCACTTCAAAAGAGAGACCCGGGAAAAGGCCCCGGGGGGCCCCAAGTCCTCTTCCGGGTCTCTCTTTCACTCAATGCATGCGGCAGATCGCTTCTTGGACGGGTCCGGGGTCTTTTCGCGAAGCCGGACGTTGGAGGCCCACATCCACTCCGGAAAGTGAAACCCGGGCGGCCCCAAAAACCCCGGAAAGCCAAACCCGAAAACGGGGGGGGGGGGACCCGGGGAGCCTCCACGGAAAGGGAAAACCAAACGAGGGGGGGGGGGGGAGCCCAGGCGCACTCCGGACCAGCCCAAGCGCGCCCCTTTTTCTCGCCTGGTGCAGGCCAAGGCCTGTGCTGTGCCCGGGGGGGATATCAGCGCCATCGGCAGCTGTCCTCCCCCGGGGTGCCCTGCAATTCCGTTCCGGATGGCCGCAGTGTTGCATGATCACACGGCCCCCTTGGCAATGTCGTCAATGCGCTTGAGCGCCGCCGCCTCCGGGTTCCGGAGAATCAGCTCCCAGATGGCATCTGAGACATGGCCGGTCTGGGTGACGTGGCTGAACCTAAATCGTGGGACTTTCTGGTCCACCACGGAGACATCCCGCAGCGGGGCAGACGGCTCTACCCGGCGGTAGAACTCCAGCCGTTCCTTGACCCAGCGGTTGTACAGTCCATCGGGCGGCTCGTCCAGCACCAGCTGAAGGATGGCCTTGCCGGCCCGGATCTGGAGGAGGCGAGTGCCCCCTCCCCCGGCGCGCCAGTACCCCTTGCAGTACTTGCACATATAGCCCCCCCGGGTTTCCCCCTTCGTCTTGGGGATGAGCTCCCATGGGGTGACTGAGCTCAGAACCAGGCCGCACTCCATGTGCGCCCAGAAGACGTGCTTCGTCTCTGCCGAGAAGTTCTTCTTCTTGTACTCCTTGCCCACCACGCCGTGGACGTTGTCCGATGTGATGGGGGGGTAGACGATCCCCTCATCGCCCTCTCCTCCCCTGGGGCGGATGTCAGGGCCATCGGCACCTGTCCGGCACCCGGGGGCGGAGGGGTCCAGGCCCATCAGCTTGATCATGTCGTTGGTGTAGCCAAGCTTGCGGTAGATGGAGGGGGCCACTGAGTCGGGGACTGCGCCGACCCACCACTGCTTCGTGTTGCAGCGCCAGTTGACTTTCACCTCCGCCAGGGCCCCCGGGCCTCCAATGCGGTCCATGAGGGCCTGGTACACCTCTGGGAACTGCTGGAGACTCTCCACCGGGACCGATATGCGCTCATCACATACCGCCCGGAGGATCATCTGTTCCTTGGAGTCCGCCACGTCCTGGACCGGGAGCTGCATTACCTCCGCCGGGGTGTCCGTGAGGAAGGCCCGGGCCGCAAGGACCTTGCCCATGGCCCGGTAGACCAGGCGCCACTCCGGTCCTGTCTGCGGAAGCGGAAGGCCCTCCTCCTTCAGGACGCACCGAGCATCTTCCTTCAGGGTCTCCCAGCCTTCCAGGCGGATCTGATTCTGGGCCTTGTTCTTCGGGCCCCGCTGCCTAGGGCCCTGAAGCAATGGCAGAGACTCCCAGACTCCCCAGAGCTGGCGCAGAGTGAAGCTGTGACCAAACATCCCCAGCAAGCCTGGGAGTGTCCAGGACGAGATCTGGCGCGTCCAGTGGAAGTCCTCCTCCGGATCGTGGGGGGCCGCCCAGAAGATGGATCGCAGGTCCTCGGGGTATGGTCGGTCCCCCGCCTTGGCCTGCTGGTTCAGCTCCTCAACGGAGTACCTGGCCCATGGGAGTCCACCCGCCTGGTGGTTCCTGGGATGCGTACCCTTTTCCAGCGCCTCCGGATTCACCTTGGTGAGGTTGTTGGCCCAGTCCGGGACGTGTACGGGCCCCGGTCGTCGGACCCAGCGGCCCGCAAAGATGCGGACCTCTCCGACACGCTTGCTCATCATCCAGCGCAGGACCGCGAGCTGCACCTCCGGGTCCTGGGTGTCCAGGCCCCCCCGGGGTGGCGGACGGCTTGTCAGGGCCCTCGGCACCTGAGCTCGTCGCACCAGAGCCCGAAGCTGGGGGGATGGTGGGCTGCCTGTCAGGGCCCTCGGCACCTGGGCGCGCCGCACCAGAGCCCCCCGCCGTTGGAATGGGGATCCCCGCCAGATCCGGCAGATCTGCCAGGAGGGCCCCCGGAAAGGGGTTCCTACCCAGCGAGATGACCGCCTTGGCTTCGAGGTAGGAGTCCGTGAGGGACGTGAGGTCGTCCATGCTGAAATCCCTCCATGCCGTGGTCGGCTCAAAGACCCCTGTCTCAATGGCAACTCGGACCTCGCTAGGCCACGCACTGAATGGAGGCTTGATGGGCTCGAGCATTCTGGTCTCGAGGGCGCCCTTCGCTTGTCTGGCCTGGTGCTTTGCCTTCGCCTCTTCCGCAGTGGTCTGGGCCTGGAGGAGCTCCGGTGTGGGCCTCCCCCAGTCCGCGCCCAGCTTATCCAGCAGTTTCTCGCGGAAAAGGTCCAAGTCCAAATTCTTGAGGAGTTGTCCCCCATCGCCTCCTCCATCGATGGCCCCTCCTTGGAGCTCGTGGAGGACCGCCGCAGATCGCTCCACCGCTGCCACCTGGTCTGCCTTCTTTGCCTCTTCCTGGGCGATGGTGGTGGCGTTGAGCCGGGTCTGGATTTTGAAGGCCTTCACTGCCGACGGGTGGAAGGCCCTGCACTCCTGGCCCTCTTCCTTGTCGCCCGGCAACGGGGGCCTTTCCCCCATTGGGGCCGTCAGGAAATCCTCGTCCAGCTCCATGGGGCAGTTCCTGATCACCGCCCGGACCGAGGAGGGGACAAAATCCGAGAAGCTGGCCTGGTCCAGGTTCTCGCATGCCATTGGGTCGGTGGCCAGCTCGCTGACATCCACCGAGGCGCTGAGCTTGAGGTCGCGGGCCCGGTCCGTGTCAGGGCCATCGGCACCTGCGGACCGGGCCGCCGTCCAGACCGCATTGCCCTGGTCATCCACTGTCAGCTGCCAGTGCGTGCCCGCCATTTCCAGGGTGGCCAAGTTGGACGCCGTGTCGATGGGCTCCGTCTTTTTGCCGCACCCCATACACTTCCTGGCGCCCTTCTTCACCCAGGGCATGGTGCAGCAGGGGCAGATCCAGGATGTGGGCTCCTTACCCAGGGGGCGGTTCTCAAGGCCCCCATACCCCAGGCCAGCGCGCTTGCCAACCTTCTGTCCCGGGGTGCTGAGCAGGGCCTCATGCTCATACTTCATCTTGGCGATGTAGAACGCCTCCACCACGCGCTCCAGGCCCCCCTGCTTGAGTTGGGGGCCCTCAAAGCCTCTCAAGAGCCGCTGGACATCCTTGGCCTGCAGTCGTCGGAGCCTGGCGGCCGTGGTCCCATCAAAACACGGGAAGTCGCCCGCCATCTGGTCCGCACTGAATTGGTAAAGGCCCTCAGAGACTTTGAGGGCCTTGGTGAAGACGCTTCCCCCTGGCGCGGGGGCTGCGGGGTCCTCATCCCCCTCCGAGGACACCTACGCCCTGGCCTTTTCCATAAGGTCCTGGCGTCCCTGCCACTTGGTGTCGGACATCGGGGGGTCCACCTCATCTTCCGCCAGGGGTTCCTCCATCGGTGGCTCCTCCTCGTCTTCCGCCAGGAGTTCCTCCATGGGAACATCCGGCTCTGGAGGGTCGAGAAGCTCCAGGAACGCCCCTGGGGGGCGTGTCAGGGCCTTCGGCACCTGCGCCACCCCAGGGGGGGAGTCCGCCATCAGCTCGTCCTCGGCCTTACGCTTGGCTGGGATGAGTGGGGCTTGCTCCAGCTCGTCGGCGCTGGAGAAGAACCGTTCGTCCGGTGCCTGAGGGACCTCAGCCGCCAGGACGGTCCAACCTTCTTCCTCCTTTTTCACAAGGCTTGCCAGGTACTTCGCCATGGATGCCTTCGCCTTCGCCTTAGCCTCTGCAACCGCGGCACCAGCATAGGCGGGGGTGTACATGGCTTTGGTAGGAGGGGAATGAGAAATTTCAGATTCCAAGACAAAAGGGAAGTGTCCACTTGAGCCAAAATGGTGGCCCAAGTGGATACTTACAAAGAGTCAAGACAAGCGACCACCTACGGTTAACACTTTAGCCCAACCGGTCAATCAAGAACAGAACAGCAGCGTTCAAACGCAAACCACGATATTCTCTCATTTTTCATGGTTGAAGTGTTCCCGTACGTGATTCGCTTTTCACAATCATCGCTTGCTATATCTTCTTCGCTTAGCTGGCTGTAAACTTTCCTTTTTCGTTCGTAGTTCATCATCATTGAGTTTATCACATGGACTCCTGTGCCGTTTTCTTGAGGATAAGCTCCTTTTTCCGCTAACAAGCCTAAACATGCTTCACTCTGAAATAACATGGTTGCTTTTACTGTTGTTTTTTCTGCCATATCCAAACAAACGTTGTCAGTCTGTTCGGCCGGAGCAAGCCACAATGCTTGATGTGTCAAACCACCAGGACATTTGTTACTTCGACCCTCGAAACAAGGCGGTGCTTGGCTGTGTTTTGTTATTCTATCAAAAATAAACGCCACTTGCATGGCTTTTCATTTTGTGGTGTTTGCTTTTTTGCATGTTTGCTTTTGAGGAACGTTTAAACAGAAGAGAAAGACAAACTGAGCCTTTTATGTTTGGTTTCCTCTAGGCCATGAATTCTTTTCTCGCGCCGGATCCGGGATCCGGGGATCGTCTCTCGCTCGTCTCTGGGCTCCCCGGCGACGGGGTGCGCACCTGCCGCCGGTACCTCGATTCGATCCGCCTAACCAAGCGGGCCGCTCCACGGGGACAAGCAAACCCAACCAAACCAACGGAGAAAACCCCACGGAAAAACCAAAGGACATGGACGGCTGGTTTTTTGAAGTGCCAAGTCAGGAACTTCTACTGGAAGCTCTTCCAGGGGCCTGACAATCGCCAAGAATGTTTATTTTGTTTTAGAATGTTCTGAAATAACTAGAAGCAAGTGCTCGTTCTTTGTTTACATGGATTTGTCAGGTTGGTTTCTTCAAGCCACCGGCCTTGCCATGTGCCATGAGGGCAAGTCAACAGAGCTGACATTGGAACGGGCCCTGGGAAAACCCGAGGGGCGGGGAGGGTAATATAAAGGCCTACATACAATAAGAACGGGGGTGTGGGGTACTTTAAAAAATGATCATATATAAATCAAGTGATGACATGTTTTGGTGGTATACATCCCCTTACACATCCCCAGTAGGTTCGGAGGAGCTGCGATCTTTGGCTAAAAAACGAGATGTGCGCAAGGCGCGCCGTGCTCATTGAACGGCATGTCAAGTCGAACTTGATTGAGGGTCCCTGGTTTTGTGTTCACCTTTCACACCCCCCTTTCAACTTTTGGTTTACGGCCCAAGAAACAGGCAATGGAGCACAAAAAAAGGTCCCCATTCAATTGACATTGGCAACCAAAACATCTTCGGATTGTGGGCGCCCGTCTTTGCAAAGGGGCCATGGGACATTGGAAAAGTGAGACTTTCTTGGTGACCAAAACAAAAACAAAAAACTGTCAGGTCCAAGAAAAAAACATCGGGTCCGACAAAAAAAACACAGGTCGGAGGGGAAAAGCATAGCTCAACAGAGAAATATAATGTCTTCAAAAGAGGCATCAGCTGCTCCAGCGCCGAAGGCGGCGAAGGCTCATGAAGGGAAGGTTGTGTTCTAAGGCTTCCTTTTGGGCGGGTGGCAGAACACGGGGAAAGAAAGGGGGTATTTTGAGAGGCTTCTAGAAAAAGAAGGATGGCGGGCCGAAAATCAGGCAATGCATTGTCCTTCAGCGGAGACTCCAAAGGCTCTCCAAAATGCGCTTCCCTTTGAAACATGTGCATATGGGGGACGTGTCAAACCTCGGAAATCGGGGGGATTTGAAGGAACCCATGTCTTCAGCTCACCGATTGCGAGTCATTCGGTGACCCTATTCCCGACCCTATGGTCACTGCGCGATGCGCCGCAGCCGCTGGGAGCCGGAAAGATTCTGGGCCTTGACCTACGGACGAGCTTGGTTCAAGGTGCCAATCACTACCCTTTGTAGGGGAGACAATCGATTGCTGAAACGATCACTACACATTTGGATCTGAATTTGAATAGGGACCCCTTGGTGGACATCACATAGGTGGGGATCCATGTCCATCAAGCAGTTGGGTTGGAGGGGGTTCCCTATTAAATTTCATTGCCATTTGTTTGGGTGGAGTTCCCTTTGAAATCCGCTTTGCCCGCCCAGCCGCGGACAAAACAGAGTACCCAAAACAGGGTAATGGAATGCAGCAAGAAAGAGCAACATCCCCATGCGGTCGGGAGTTCCGATGTGGGGTCATGACCGCGAAATTGCGGGTGCAGTCCGCTATTTTCTTCCAGGGGGTCGCTTCGCGTAAATGCATCGGACAGTTGGCCGAGTGGTCAAACGCTTCATCTTCGCGGGCCTGATAACAAGCCAGCCAATTCAAAACTCCAAGTCGCAACCCCTCACGCTTCCTGATGGTAGCTGATTTGTGGTACGGCCAAATGTTGCAGGTAACACCCACCACCGCAATGGCCTCAGTGTCCACGGTCTTCTCAATCAAGGGCTCGTAGAGCCTGCGCGTGACCTGGTCCAGGCATGGCGCACCGGTTTCCCTCTCATCCACGGCGACCCGCTTATGCGCTCACGCGCCACAGAGTTGCTTTGGAGGCTTGACTCATTGACTACCCTAGCGGTTTTCCCTTCTGAAAAAAATAGAGGGAGACTTCAAGTCATCCCGATCGCAAATGACACGTCTAGCCGCGATGAGACTTGTGGCGCAAGGTGCATCCCACAAGAGGGCGCCGGAAAAATTCCCAGCCTACGTTTCGATTGGGAGCCGTCGTTCCTCGTAATGAGCATAAGATAGAAGGCCATGTGTGGTCTTTGTTCCGGTTGTTGTTGAAGTCGATCCCTCGAGTGCACTCGGGAGCAGCTGCAGCAGCGGGCGCTCCTTTCTCCCTCCGCTTCCCGCGCACACGCGCGGAATTGGAGGAGACGCAGCTAGGCCTGGGCAGGTTCTGACTGCCGCGATGACCCAAAGGCGTTGTTGCGGGACACTTTTCTGGGGGAAGGCCAACGGCGGCAACTTTCCCCATCTCTCTCTCTCAATTGTCTGTCGATCGTCTCTCACAACAAGACGTGGCTCCGGGGAAAAAAAGAAAAGGTTTCCGAGAGCGGTCTTAAGCTTTCAACCCCCCGAAAACCGAGTCATGCGCGTGTGCGCGTGATAATGGCTCCCGTTTTGCTCGCGGACCGGCCATTCTGGGCCGAGGAGCTGAAGGTCGAGCCCGGCGCAAGAAACAACAAAACGACTCAGCTGGAAACCGGGGGTGGGATCGCATGCACACAATGTACCTGTTTGTTGGCATGGACCAAGGTTGGAACCCCATTCAGGTGTCCGGTCGTTTTTTGAGCCTCGGCACCCCTTTGGGTCAGTTGAAAGATGCCAAGGGGGAACCCACCCATGTTGGGTCCCCTAAAAACAGACAAACCTATTGAGGCTCAGCAAAAGAGGGAAGCCAAAAACTCATGGGGGCGGAAGAGGGAGCCCGCCCTTGACGAGGCGTTGAATACTTAAGGCCTCGGGGCTCCCTCGGCCGTTTGCAGCCCCATGACCAACAAAACGTCTAGTCTTCTTTTTGGCCCCAAACTCCACTCATGACTAAAACCGTTTCAATCCCAGAACCCGCATGGGAAAACACACAAACAGACCACAAGCAAACTCTCAGCACTGGGCTGGCACGGCGTTGGCCACAGCCACGCATAGAGCGACACCGCCAGCGCCTGGCAAGGCGGCAAGGCGCAAAAAAGACGTCATCGTCTGGCTATGGGTCAAAATAGGAGGACACCAAACAAAGGCGGTTGCTGTTGGTGTCCCAAAAGACAGAGCCTCACCCAGCAGTATGGCTGCGCAGGTTGGTCACCCTTTCCTGAGTGGGGAAGCTATCGTCTTCCAACACAAAATGGTTATTCTGGTTTAACCAAAGTGCATCCAAGGAGAACGGAAACATGACCAAGCAACCTTTCTTGGGGAAGCACCATAAGTCCATTGAACCCACGCCCTTTTGGGGGTTGGTCTAACAAGTCATGGTTCATGTTCAGCGCGCTGGCTGAATGAACCCCATTGTCTCCAAGGGGGGAGAGGGGGGGGGGGCACCTCCAACATGGGTAGTATTTTTGTGTGCTCTTTTATAACAGTCGTAAAAGGGGTGACCTCAAAATCAAGGACATACATTCAGCCATAAACACAACGGAAGGGCAAAGGGCTTGGTACAGAACCATTCATATCCGTGCAACTTCATATGTCCCATTTAAACATACCCTTCCAGAACTCTGAAAGGAGCTGAGAATCGCCCCGCAAACAGCTAGCAAGTGTCTCTTGACATGTGCATGTCATTTTTGGGATTTGGCCCCAAAAAACCGGTGGTTGTCCTTGTGGTGTCCCTTCAAAACACCCAAAACATCTACAAAGGACACGCCCATTTTTCGTTTGAAAGCGGCCTCGAAGTAAACCAAAGTCAGCCAACCCACAGGAATCCCTCAGTTCAGAAGCCGACCGTCCGGAAACCGGAGTTGCTCAATGCGTAAACTGATGTTCGAGCATCCTCGTATTTAGCTTCTTCCCAGGGTTATGGTCTGCCCCTGCCCCGCCTTGACCGCAGCCGCAGCGCTGAGGAGCCAGCCTGACCGACCTACGCCTTGGCGCCTAGGCTCCCTGTCTACCACCCCTAACTTTGATCCACTCAGAAGATGAGGAGACCTGAGATGTCGACCAAACCCTCCAAAGCTTTGGCTGGGCCTCAGCTGGGGCACTCGCAACTTCAAATCCAAGCCTTGAGCAAAGGACTAGCACCCTAAGGACCCCGAATCCAAGAGGCGCCCGCATTTCAACAAAGGCAACAGTTGACACCGCTCCATGTCTTATGTTACGACATACTGAAACTTCTCCCAGCCAAATGCCCAACCCACCAAGCGGAAGATCCAAGTTCGAGAATTTCTCCGGATCTGGGGGTCCCGCCAGTGCGGGGCTGACCCCAAGTTCGAAGCATCCCGACAAACCATCCAAACCACCCACCAAAAGACTTCCAACAAGCACCCACCAAACAGCATAAATGTCAAACTCTGATCCCTGAAAATGGAACTTGAGACCCCCCCCCCAAATCTCTGCGACCCCACTGCCAACTCCGCCTCGCGCCAGCCGCGGCGTCGCCTCGAAGCTGGGCGCCGTTTGCCGCGGCGCGGGCGGTGCGGCTGGCGCCGGAAAGCCAGCACTCGCCTTCCGAAGGCCGGGCCTGGACTCACCTCCTGAGTCCCAACATTGTGTTTGCCACTGAAATGGTCCAAACCCAAATCGTTTAAAATCCATGAACTCAGGGAGTGAGTGGTAGCTCCGATGTCAACTGCGATTTCGGCTCCCGATTTCTGCCAAATTGGATACACTCCCTCAGACTAACAGCCAGAAGCTGCCCAATAGGCCTTTGCAAATGGAACCAAGTTCTTTGAAAGGGGTCCTGAAGCTCCCACGTTTGTCTGCAGGTTACTCCCAGCCCCGAGCGGCCTCACCAGATCAATGATGCACAGCGCCACTCTAGGTGCCCATTTGAAGTGTGATCTTGGCAACCCCTGGAAATTGACCAATGTTCTACCGCGTGGTTTGATCATCTTTTTGCTTAGACATCTTCGTGGGAAATGCCCCCCTCCCCTTTTATGAAAAAAATGTTGCGAAAATCCAAGCCCGACTACTTTCGCACTTCAAAGGTGGTTCCCTCGCTGGCAACCCAAAAACCATGAGCTCCATGGTTGACAGGCAACCGGGTTATCAAGGTCCTACCAAGATTCTAACTCTTGTCCTTCTGAGAACCCAATCTGGCTGTGAATTTGTAGAGTCGAAACATCAAAAGAGGTGGACATGAATCCTCCACCAAAGGGTCCCTTGCCAAATCTCATGCCATCTCATGCCCATCTTTTAAGCCCGGCGCCAGCCGAACTTGACAACAGGCACATCTTTTGCCGACCCACTTCCTGAGTGGACTGGCAAAAAAAGTCCAAACATTGCGCTTGCCACTGAAATGGCCATGGGTCAAAAGCCAGTACCCCCAGTGAACATCCCAATCCCCACTAAAATAGACTAAAACGGGTGGTGCACCTACCTTAAAATGGTACCATTGGTTTTGAACATTGCAACTTGTAAATGGTGGCTTCCCTTTATTTTGGTGTTGAAAAAGCCACCTGGTTCAATTGGTTGCAAAATGAATTTCTTTTAAGGAGCCCTCTTCAAAGTCCATGAGTGAGCCGATCCTTATTAAATTAAAAAAAAGAGCCCCCAGGCCTCTGGGCATATGCTGGCACAGCGCTCGCGGTAGAGTGCCACCGCCTCTTCCACCGAGGTAGCCTGTTCTTTTTGCGGCGGGTGCAGGCGGTCCGTCTCTCACTGCGCATGTGAGTCGTACTCAAACCTGGTACAAAAATGGTGAACCCAGAACCATGTAAGGAATTGAAAAGGAGGCCGCAACCATTTATGGCTGGGATTGGCCCTTACTAACCTTCCTTTACCCGGGTTTTGATTGTGACTCATGGGTGTTTTGGCGTGGACCTTTTGTTGCGATGGTAAATGGAAACCAAGAACGAAACCCAAACTAGGGGTCCGAATCCCTGTCAGCCCCAAATATTGTGGACGAACAAATTAAGTGGAAATGGGTGTGTGTTTTTGATCAGGGTACCTGCTTGGGGTTGGTTAAAGAGAAGCCAAAAGGAAAACGGTGTGGAGCATAGCATAGCAAGAAAAACTATGAGCCCAAAACCCCAATCTCGAAGCGCTCCCAAGCCGACCACCCAGAACTTTGGCGCCTGCCCACTCACCCATCTCACCTCAGCTATCCTTCCACCCTCTAACTTGGGGCCCACCTTTGCGGCAGATGTCGGGCTTACATGTCGGTTTGGGGGTGGCACCGCCTCGCGACGACCTTGAAAAAAGCAGCCCCTTCGGCCTGCTGGATCCGCCACCAGTCGAGCACATACCTGGCACCCAAGAAAAAGCTTGGCCTTTCCAGTGTCCGTCACTTTTTGCTAGCAATGGCTTTTGCTTAGGGGCAGCTCGATACAAGCGGCTGGGTGTGGGCATCGTGACTGTGATCAGGGCGGGTGGAGGGCAACAGCCCGAGCACCGGGCTCGGTCTCCGATCTGTTTCCACATGCTGCATTTTCAAGGTTCTCGCGGCAGGGGTGGCCTTTAGACGGTTTTCGGACTTTGTCAGGGTGGGTGTTTGGTTCGTTTGGGGCTAGCTGGGGCGTGACCACCGCTTGGCGTTAGTTTCTGTTTGGCTTAGTTCATGGTTGAACTTGGGCAAACTTGGGCGTGGCTTTGGGCTGGCTTGTGTCAGGTTTTGGGGCTGGTTTCAGCAGTGCATACTGTTGCTGAAGGGGAGTGTTCATTGTTTTTGTTGCTGGTTTGCTCCTAGTTTTGGTGCGTTGATGTTGACCCACCCCCCGTCATGCCAATCTGCCAACCAACCCAACCCCACAACCACCCAACCACCCAACAACCCAAACAAACCACCCAACCTCCCAACCAACCACCCAACCACCCAACCAACCACCCAACCAACCACCCACAACCAAACCACACAACCAAACCACACAACCAAACCACACAACCACAACCAAACCACCCACCCACCCACCCACCCGCCCGCCCGCCCGCCCCCGCCGGCCCAACCAACCAACCAACCAACCAACCAACCAACCAACCAACCAACCAACCAACCAACCAACCAACCAACCAACCAACCAACCAACCAACCAACCGCCTGAGCCACTCCTGTGTTAGTAAGAAAAAAAGGCACCTCCATTGAACCCCCAACAAAATTCAAGGCGAAGGAAACCAAGACAGCCCCAGAAGAAGGCCTGAATAGTTGGCTATGGGAAAAGGAGTCCCAAACCCTACCCAGCGGATCCCAGTTCCCAACCATTTGGTCTTTCAGCGGCAAGCCCGTGGTCACCCATAAACTCACTAAAGCCACAGCGCTCGCCACAAAGAGCGCCACCCCCTCAGCCCACTCCATCCACCCCCCCCACCCGCGCCTGGCCCGTGCCCGGGTCGCCTCCCCCAGCAGCCGCTCGGTGCCCGGATCCGCCTCCGAGGCGCCCACCCCACCGCAGAGCATCGACCTGCGCCCCGTGGACAACGCGAGCGCGCGCTGATGGACCCAAACGCGCCCACTGATTTTTTAACCGAAAACCAACCAAAGAACTTCCAACTCAAGAACTGAGTTTAAAAACTAACTGAAATTTGGGGGTCCAACCAAAAAGAACTTGCTACATAAACGCCGCCAAGACAACAGGTTGGTGCCCCTTTTTTTCCGGTGCCCACTGAAAAATTTCACCCGGTTCCTCTCCATTGGCCTTTTTTTGGGGGGTTTGGAATGAACCGTTTTGGGATTCCCGAAGAAAGGAAACCATGGGTGGTTGGTAGGGGTTCCAATTTTCATTCCCCGAGTTCGCACCAGGCAAAATCAAGATTCAATATGGTTGTGGCTTAAAAATGGAATCCTTAAAATTGCATTTCGGTAAATGGAACCAAAGAAGAAAACCTGCGGCTTGCCCCACCACTTTAATTTTGAGCCACACCCACATGGCTGAAGTTCAATCAGCTCAAACCGAGTGATTGTTTCCCCTCATACCCCGTGAAAACTGGGATTTTGGGGGCCCGGACCCTCCAAACTTCCCATAAAAATGGCTGCCTCGTACTCCCAGTTAACTCTTTTTTCATCCCTGGAACAAATCAGAAAACATGTGTCCAGTAGTGACATCGATTCCATTCCCTTTAAAACCAACACGGAAAAACAAACAATACTCATTTCTAAAAAGAAGGTGGGGAATGGTTGTAGGGTAGCTTCCCACTTAAGGTAGGTGGCTTGCTGGTCTGAGCAGCTTCCGGCAAACTTCGTTCTGTTGAACTGAATCATCCAACTGGCAAATTCCAGTTCGGGGATTTACTTCGGGAGCGTTCCCAAACCTTGAGGTGCATACCCTGAGAACCAGGATGGTCCCAACTTTGCAGTTGTCCTACTTTGCTGTAGCTTACTCGGGCTTCGTTGCTAAGAGGAATGGATGCGGCAGGCAGCCCAGGACCAAGTCCCCACCCCTCCTGGGCTACTGGTTTGGGAGCTGAGGCTTGCCACTGCGGGTACATGGTGCCTCAAAAACAAAAACTCGGGACAGCGGGAAGAGAATTCGGGACGCTGCCATAAGCAGTGGCTTTGTTTGAACAAAATGGCGGAACACAAGGTCCCGCCTCGCATCCCCTCCCCCTCGGCGAATAAGAACAGCAGGGACGGCGAGGAGGTCACCCGCGTGTTGCATCAAGTGAGTGGAGGCATCTACCAGCCACTGATGTCATGGGGGCTGGGCAAACGGGGGGGGAGGGACAGAATAGGGCCTTGGGCTCCCTCCCTCCCCAGCTCTCGTCAAAATAGTCGATGATGTTATTCAACCATCCTACTTTGTGGGTCTCAAATTGGTGGAACTTTTGGCAACACGTGCTGTCACCCACCTCTCGCCGTTTGGGAAATAGGTTCCCATGTTCAGGAAGCACTTGGGTTACTGTCCTATGTCCAAGGTGACTTTCTCCAACTTCCACTCTAAGAGCTACAGGAGATTCACCTGTCCAAACTTCCACTCCAAACTTCCATTTGCCTTTTTGCCTGGAAAACATGACAAATATGTCCAGTTTCCCCTTAAAACCAGCAAAGGAAAGTAACAAAAAGTAACTTCAGCAAATGGAAGCTTAGGGTACTGCAATGTGGGGTACCCGGACCCTCAAGCTACCCGAAAAAAAGTCATTGACATCGCCAGCCGAAGCACCAGCGACCACGTGCCTCAGGTGGCTACGAAGCACGTCAACGTTCTCCGCCTCGCAACTGGCCCATGGTTCTCTGAAAATCGGAGCCCGCAAAATGGCGGTGTGCTGGTTTCTTTTGCACATGCCGCTTCGAAAGATCACGGGTCTTGGTTTTGGACGGAAAACCGTGCGCCCAACATTTTTGAGCTGAACATCTGGCCTAGCCGGCTTGTGAATAGGTAATAGGGAGCGGTAAAGATGCTAAAGACGGATTGGTCTCCTGGGCTCCCTCTATTACCATCCCAAAAGAGCTTTCTGTTTGGGAAACACCTGCTCATGAACATCCACCATCAACAACTGAAGACAATGTCAACCCAGGATGAATAACCTCCCTGTATTAGTATGGGGGTCTCTCTGGCTTTAGTGGGGGGTCATCACTTTTGGAGGGGAACATCCCCCTATTCATAGGACGGGTGTATCAACCCGGGGTCAACATTACCCAGCAACACGTACTCCCTTTGTAAGTGTCCTACCCAAACCGATGAAATCCATGCAGAAGACTCACATATTGGGTAGCTACAGCCGCGCTTGGCCATGCAAGTAGCATATTGGGTAGCTACAGCCGCGCTTGGCCATGCAAGTAGCATAGCTCCACTCAATTTCCGATATAATTGATACGTCTGAACTTGTGACAGCATCACAGAATGTTGCCACAAATCCAGCAAATCTCAAGTGTGGACTGATTAGAAATCTAGCCGCGCACATGCCTAGCTTGTTCCGGCATACAGGTAGTGGGTGTGTATGCGTGTGTACTTCCGAAAGATGCATATTGCCGCAAAGGGAGGCTAACAACAAAACAAAGTGCAAGCTGTCACCACCGGAAGCAGTGAAACCGCAAACACTTTGCGCAGAATGTTGAACAATAACAACAAACATGCAACCTTATATAGATGGATGCATGTGATATCTAAAAATATATGTGCGCACATGCGTGTCTATATGCCTTTGCCTGGTCTCGGCTCAGCTTCTGACCTGCGTGATATGATCGTGTCTGCATTTCGTGCATGTATGCATGCAATTCAAGAATTGTACTGTATGTAAACATCTGCAGGTATGGTATTATCTATATATATATATATACATATGCGTATTATGTGTGCTACCCCGCCCCCCCCTCCTCAAAGGACCCGAAGGACCTGCACTTGGGTCAGTGTGACAGAAGACACTCCTTTAAGATTTGGCAATTGAGTAGCGTTCAGGGAAGACACTAGAGTGCGAATTAGCATGTCCAATCTGAAAGCTTTAGGCCAACTTTTTCCAGGGAATCTTGAATCCAGTCGGCTTGGATCTAGCTTTGTCCTATTCCTAAGCTGAGGTTTTGTCAGAAGATGCAAAAGAACAGCTATGTTGGAGCCATTGGCCCAAAATTAAAAACGTAAAGAAGTAAAATTCTGCAGCCAATGACCCGAAAGCAAAAAAACAAAAAAGAAACAATATGAGGCCAAAGATAAAATATTTCAGTCCACGGTCGAAGCATTTACTTCAGGACCATGAGCTGATTTGTTCTACCTGTTCACATGTGTTTACTTCCAATTGAATCGGATGAACGTCCTTCTGAAACTTGTAGCCTGGCAACTCAAAACTTGCAAGCCAATGGGCTGAAATTGAAGTTTAATTGAGATGTTATCGTCGTTTCACTCCTTTTGTGGGGAAGGCAAACTAGAAGAAAGACCCAGCTTGTCTTTCCTCACTAGATGTTATATATATTCTGCTTTCCCCAAAGCCCCCAAAAAAGCAGAAAACACTGCACACGCCAGCGAATTCTGAAGCAAGTTAGATCCATGGGGGGGGGATATATGTGTATGCATATGCATAGAACAATGTATAATAATAATAAGAATAATAATGAGAAGAATAATAATAATAAATGATGATAATACTAATACTAATAGTAATGGTAGTAAGAATTTTGGAAACAATGATGATAGTAATAATGACAATACTAATTAAAAGAAAATAACAATCAAACAAAGGTAGTACTAATGATGATGAATTATTGTATTTCATTTTACAATACTGATAATAAACATAGATTTGCATCTGTACCATCACTGTCACACAAATCAACGACTCGGAGCGCGGGCTCACCTCCCACGCGGTGAAGCGCTGTGTCTCCGCCAGGCAGTGCCTTTCCGCGCGCCAGCACTTCCCACTCGGGGGAGAAATCGATGACCAGGTCCGGGAAGAAGGGCGCCCGATTTTTTTCTGTAGTCTATTTTAGTAGAGGAACCCTCCCCCCAAAAAGGGGGCAAGAGGTAGTCTATTTTAGGGGAACCCTCCCAACCAAAAAAGGGGTGAGAGAGGGCACCTAGCTGGGGGACCTAGATGAATTTCCCTGGTAAATGGATGGCCTCAAACCAATCTCTACGGGAAATGGATGGCAATAAACCGTTGTGCAAACCAGCGGCTTGCCCAATCAAACTCATGTAAACAGGACATCTGCGCGTAGTCTGGTGTGTTGGAGTTCTTTTAGATGTAGTGATAAATTGGGTGGAAGGGTGGTGAAAAGCACCCCAATTTAAGTGCTCAATGCCTGTCCCACACCGGCTTCAAACCAACCAAAGTCATCCAGCTCGCAAGGTATTGTGACAAATGGCATAGAGAACGGACCTGCCCTAATGTCAAAGAGGCCATACCCGTCTTGAGGCAACGGCAAACACACCGCCACAAACAAAGACTTCAAACGACTCAAGGAGGAGCCTCCCCCCCTCAATGAGCTAACCCTTGGTGCTTGGCGGATTTGAACCCCTTCTTGCAGACATTTCCAGGCAAACCCTCCTGAGCCAAACCACACCAAAACCACCTCCCCTTTTCGAGCTAACTGAAGCCAGCGGCACCCGCAATACTCCGCCGCCAGCTCCAGCACCGAAGGCGCCGAGCCGATCGCTCGTTGGAATAGAGCGGGGTCGCGCAAGAGCTGCTCCGCCACCATGAGGCCATCCTGACCGAAAGGACCCTCCCCACGTGAAACATGGGATTTTGAGGGGCCCTAAACTGGAACCTCAATCAGCTCCTCTTGCTGATGAAATGCTTTTTCGCCCCCTGGAAAACATATGTCCAGTGGCGAAATCGCTTCCCTTTGAAACCAACAAGGGACAAGCAAAAAAATGTAAGCAAATGGAAGCTTCGGGTACCGAAAGGAGCACCAAAATGGGCGGTTTTTGGGTACCCAGACCCCCAAACTAACCAGAAGTTGTGGATATTGCTGCAACATAATGGGCTGAATCCCTTGGTTCAAGGGTAGTTTGACGTCCTTCGGTACACTTTCGGGATTCTAAATTGAAAACAAATGCGAAACCGAAGCCATTTTTGGTCCGAATCTCTTTTCTAAGATCCGAAATTTCAGTAGGGACCCTTGTGTGGACAGAATTCGGTGGGGATTCATGTCCGCCACTTCCCTATGAATGTTCATAGCCAAGTGAGAGACACCAGATCCTTCGTTTGAGATTATCATTCGGGGCTATCCGAGGCAAAACCAGATGAGACACCCCCCAATCCACGTGGATTTGGCAGAGATTGATCCCCTGGTCTCCCCCCCCGGTTTTAAAGAATTCCGTCTAAAGTGGGACACCCCCCCCTATTCATCCCGAGGCGATATTCGGATCTTCTATCCAGGGATCATTGTTCCTGGGGAAGCAACAAATCCTGGGAATCAACGAAGGAAAAGCTGGCCAGGGAATTATATATTCTTACAACATTATGCATATGGGTGTTTCTCAAAATTGGTGACCCATTTTATGGCTTGTTTCCTTGCTTCCCTTTACTCTCCAAAAAGGGGCTCGCCATTTTGAGAGACCCCCAAAATAACTCAAACAGCAAGACGGGCAGCTCAAACATGCGCAGAACCCAAGCGAGGGGTTCGGAGCAAATTGGGGCTGGGAATGATTCGTAGAAGCCTTGGTGCCCTGAATCATAGGATACGGCCGGATCCAACCCGAGCCCAACTTTTTCCGGCAAAAGCCCAGGCCGTCCGTTGAGATCTTCAGTTGGAAAACCAGCGGGGACGACCAAAAAAACACGGAAAAAGACCCCTTTAGGTGTACAAAACCTCGAAATCGATGCCTACATGGCAGCAAACCATGGGGTGAAGTTTCGTTTTAGCATGTTGGAGAAGGGCGGTGAAAACAAGAGGAACATGATGTGGAATTCTTGGAGCCTTTGGTGGATTCACAGGGAAGCATGCCCATATGTCTGAGGGTGTGCTTCCCCATAAACATTCTCGGAAACATCAAGCGAGACTCGCTGGCTTTCATTGAGTGATGATGGAATTGGACCCGTTGTCTCCAAATTTCGCCATTGGCGGAGTTTATACCCCATGCCCTTTTTGGCACTTTCTTGTCCGTAAGACCTCAAATATGTGCTGTTTCGAGTTGGTACCATTTTGGGGTAAGCGAAATCCAAAGGAAAACCGAATCATTTTGGAGATTGTCCAACACATACCCACAGACAGGGGCCTTCAAATCCCGTGCTCAAAGGGGACTTCCAATGGCTTCTCGGTTTGGTTTCCCTTTCGGTGTCTTTGTTTTCCCCGCATCCCGAAAAAGCGTTCCCCTGTGTTTTTATGGTTCTGTCTTCCAGATCCTTTCTGGAAAAACACAAAACACACACACACACACATGTCCAGTGATAAATTCCCTGAAGCAACAGGAGAAGATAACTAACATTCTTAAGCCACTTCAAGCTGGGTTTTGCCTGCCAGAGGGGTTTCCTCGTCGTTCCCCTTGGTTTCCTCTAACCCCCCCCCCCCCAACCGGGATTTTCCCCAGTTGCCACGAAAGCCCTGAGCGCTAGCTCTAAGGTCCCAGGCGCACTTGGTGAGGTTCAGGTTGGTCAGAATGTCCTCGTGACGTTGAAGCAACACAAAGGTCACACCTGTCTTCGGGAGCCCGAAGCTGAGTCTCAGGGAGCTGACGCTGAAGCAAAAATCGTGTTTTATGCTTCTTCACTTGAAGGTGGGTCAAAAATAGGTACCCAAAATAGGTTGCCCTGTTAAATGGAAACAAGGACTAAAACCTGCGGTCCATGGCGGTTTATCTTGACCCATGCCCACTTCTGCCCGAGCTGCGAGGAGTGAAGCGCTGATCGAGAAAGCGCCCCGAAGATCGGAAGTTCAACCCCTGGTGCCTTCTTTGGACACCGGACACGCAAGCGCAACGTGCGACGTGTCCTGCCAGCCTGGAAACTCGGGGGGAAGAAAACATACCCTCCCACCAATCAAAAGATAAAACCTGGGGGGGTCCTGGTTTGGACCATTCTTCGTTTCAAGGGAGCGGGTCCCGTTCGTCAGGTTCCATGTTGATTGGAGGGAGGGGAATTCAAATGCGCTGCTTCCAAGTGAAAGTGGAGTGGATCCACCGGAGTTGGTTTTATTGAAGAAAAACATGGCCCAAACAAGGACTCCCCAAAACCCAAGAAACTCACCGTGGGCTTTTGGAGCTTCGGGGCTTTTTCACCTGGACTTGGGCCCTTTGAGGGAACCCTTCTTTGGGCTTGGCGTACAGGGAAACCAACGGGAAGACCACCCATGGGGGAAATCATTTCACTCGAACTCGGGATCCTCTTCTGGAGGAGCCCCCCCCACAAAGAAAAACGGATGTAGTATGGTCTTCCTTTTGGCTTCCCTTTTAAACCACAAAAAAATGAGTACCGACTCAAATAACACCTCAAGCGCAGAGATGCTTTTGGACCTGAAACCGCTCTGTCCAAAACTGCCTCTCGGTTCACCCCTTGCGATAGATTCGTCCCTGTCTCGACCCGTGCTTTGCATCTTTGGCTTTTGAAAAGCATTCCCTGAACTGCGCTTCAGACATGTTCTCAGGGGAAAATCTATCATTTCTCCTTTTGCAAGAAAAGCCTCAGGCTCCCTGGTTTGCAACTTTGGCTTTTCTCTGAGCCACCCATGGAGGAATAGTTGACCCCAGCTGATGAAAGGAAAGCCGAGAAACGGCTCTTCCCTTTCATTGCATTGCATTGCTCTGTTGGCAATAGGAACAGCTGAGAAACAACACGCGTACACACAATGATCCGTCCAGCCTGAGGTTCGCCCAAATGTGCGTCCCACCCCTTTTGCTGTCGCAAACGCCACAGTTCCACTGGGTTGACTAACACACCACGATGGTGTGAATTTGGTCCACACCCTTACAAAACTTCGCCAATCTGCGCTAACGCTAGGGCCCTTCAATTGGCCATCCCTGCTGATCAATTCCATACTTGCCGACGACACCACTGCAACTTTCTGAAGCGCACACACACACACACACACACACACAAACCCCCCAAAACCTTTATGTGGACCGCTAAGACCACTCCGGCGTCTGGGGCAGCGTGTGAATGGTGCCACTCACTTCCCGAGTGGATTGGCCAGAAAAAGTCTGAACTGCTTGTTTGCCACTAAAAAGTATAAAGTTCATGAACTCAGGAAGTGAGGAGTCATGAGCAAGTGAGAAATTGTGGGCCCAGAACTTCAGGGCCTCAGCTGGCACAGGAAGTGATGCCCTGTTTCAAATCCCAAACATACACGGTATCAACTCTAACCGGGATCTGTGCGGCGTGTTGGAGGCGTAAGATAATCCGTGAAATGGGGAACCCTTTAACTTCATATCCCAAAAGTGCGCATAAACAACGGAAGCTTCCTTGTCGGGCCACGCTGCCGTGTGAGGTTGCCCGTTTGATAGAACTGATGAATGATAGGCATTGCTACCAGATGTCACCAAAAACATGCCACAACATGGCATCCTGAAGAGTACGTGGCTTGCCTGCAAAATGGTATGAGTGTGTTCCTGCAGCTGGCAAGGGAAGCTATCGTGCAGCAACAGGTCGGTGCCCTTTTTGGTGTGTGCAAGACACATCTTAAAATTTGCATGCACTCAGGAGCAACCTCCAGCAAACTCCCTTCGACCTAATGTCGCACAAGACCTGGGTGCAGTATGCTCCCTGACGTGAGTTCCATGTGAAATCGACACCTCAACAGGTTTGAACATGGTTTGTGTCCTTAAACATGGCTTCTTGGGGCATGGCAAATGGCCACTCCTTTCGGCGCAGTGGCTCTCTTCCATTTGCAGTAGAGCCCACTGGAAAAATTACAAAACAACCAAAAGAAAAAGGAAGTGATAGAATCCCTTGGAAACCAACAGGGGAAATCACTTCTTAAGCAAATGGAAGCCCTTGGTTGACTCCAATCATCCGAATTGGCTTCGGCCTCGGATATCAGGAGCCTCTGGCTCGACGGTTTGCTTTTCGGCTCTCATTCCTGAGGAAATGGGCCAACCTGCGCTCGCGGATCTCCTCTTGAAAGACTGGCTCCGGCGGAATAGAGTCCAGGGCCTTCTGCAACTTCGCGAGGTATGCTTTATGGGTCTTGGCCACCGGCGGTGTGGCTCTGGACGGGGAGTCTTTGAAGGTCATGGAATGGAAGGACTGCATGGTCTCCTGACGGGCGCATGGAAATCAGAGGCGATCGCCTTTTGGAACCATGACTACAGGAAATGTAGATGTGTCTTTTTTAGGGCTAACTACGGTAACTGCTTTTGTGGTCAAAGGAAAGCAAAAGGAAACCAACCAGTTTTGGGGGCCCCCTAAAAAAAGACACACACACAGAGAATTTGGTCCGTCCATCCGTGTCGACCAATTCAAGGAAACCAAACGGTTAAAAGGCCGATTCGCTTTGGGCAAGTGAGTGTCCTCGTCGTAGTCGATGGAATGTTCTTTGAGCTTCAGTCCCGGGAGCATGGGGAGCCCTGGGGGCTGGTTCACATTTCGCAAGACCAAAGTAGCCGCGGCACAGGAGTGCGGCTCATGAGAGATCGACATTGCGCTAGCTCCGCAGCCCATGTCGAAGGGGCCAACCAATGTGTTAGTGGCCTGTAGCAAAACTTGAGCCGGACAAACTTCGACCACGTACTTTCCAAAATGGAAACACCTTGGTGTCCGGTTCTGCGAGCCCGAACTCAGCGAATGGGCCAAAACCAGAAGTTGCCTTTCAGCGGATAAAACACACATTGTGCCTGAATAAACCCCCCAGTTCTGGGGGAGCTGCGGGGGAGTTGAGTCTAACATGAATTTCGACGACGGAAACTCAGCAGCATGCTGATACTCTTGTCTACGGCCCAAGTGCCCGGCAATGTGAGGCCTCCTTCCCACTGTTCGCGGGGATTCGACGCCGATGCTTTCGATGCGGGCCAAGCGACCCGGGCCCGCCGCACGTTGCCTCGGAGCGACAGCCCGGCGAGTCGCTTAGGGAATGGCTCGGCTTTGAGAAGCTCAGGGATTGCTTGGAAGGAATCTGAGAACCAGCAAGATGATGTATTTGCGCCGTGTTCTATGACACCCCTAGAAACACGCGGCAAAGGCCACATGTGCATACAGAGCATACAGAGAGAGAGAGAGAGAGAGAGAGAGAGCAAGCAATAAAGAAACAAGCAAAGAAAGAAAAAACAAAGGACTCCCAACAATTAACTTCCCCCATTCGCGTGTCTGTGCGTGTCTGTGTGTGTGTCTTTGCGTGTGTGAGTCTTTGTGTGCGTGTCTGTGTCTGTGTGTCTGTGTCTGTGCGTCTGTGTCTGTGTGTCTGCGTCTGAATCTGTGTGAGTCTGTGTCTGTGTGTGTGTGTCTGTGTGTTGTGTCTGTGTGGTGTGCCTGTGTGTGGTGTGTGTGTGTGCGTATGTGCGTCTGTGTCTGTGTGTGTGTGTGTGTCTGTGTGGTGTGTCTGTGTGGTGTGTCTGTGTAGTGTGTCTGTGTGGTGTTTCAAGGGAGTCTGCGTGAGTCTCT